TCCGGGGCTGGATACCAGAGACACTCTCCTCACCCCAAGGCTATAAACATAATCAGTGTACGGATTTCTTTAGACAAAAATTCAGCAATACAATGTCAATCCAAGCTTCTTGTGCAAGAAAATGTAGCCAAAAATTATTTCACAATCAGCATCATGCAGTGTGTGGCCTCAGATTCCATTTCCACAGCTGCTCTGGCCACGCACGGCACATGACTCAGCTGCCCCATTGGAAACCATCCCAACCCTGAATGTAGCGCGGAAGCTCACATTCCTCTGTGGGTTCCTGGCTGTATGAAGGGACTTCAAAAAACCCCATGGAAAAATCACATATTCTTTTAAAAACTCACTTTCTTCAGATATTGTAACGTGCACTCATACTCTTTTTTTTTAAGATTTTTATTTTACTTATTTTTTAATTGTTTTATTAGGGGCTCATACAACTCATATCACAATCCATACATACATCAATCGTGTAAAGCACATTTGTACATTCATTGCCCTCATCATTCTCAAAACATTTGCTGTCCACGTAAGCCCCTGGCATCAGCTCATTTTCCCTCCTCCCTCCCCGCTGCCCCCTCCCTCATGAACCCTTGATAATTTACAAATTATTATCTTGTCATATCTTACACCATCCGACATCTCCCACTCATATTCTTTTAAGAGTCTTGATGGTGTAGTGGGTTACACATTGCTCTGCTACCGCAACAGCAGCAGTTCAAAACCACCAGCTGCTCTGTGGTAGAAAGACTAGGCTTTCTATTCCTGTAAAGAGTTACAATCTTGGAAACCCACAGGGGCAGTTCTATCCTGTTCAATACGATCACTATAGTTGGAATTGATTAGATGGCAGTGAATTTGGAATTATGGGTATTATTCTCATGATACTGTTGAGATGGATGAAGATATGCTAATGGTGCCCGTGTGTAATAAAGAATTTGGCACAACCCAAAAGGAGGTCCTGTGTTTTACACTGGACTTGGGGCAAGTAATCGATGCCAAACGTGATAGGAGTAGCTTTGTTAACGGCAGTCCACGACACTGGATCTTAGGATGGGACGGGGCATCCCCAACTGCCTCACGGTCAGGGCTGGCCACGTCACAGAGAGTAACCCTGTGAGTTACAGGGGGTATGCTGGGTCCATATTTTCAGGGGACCTGAAGTCTGAAATCTATCACCCAATCCTACGTAACGGTGCCCAAATAAAAATTTTGAACAACAAAGCTCAGGTGAACTTCCCTTGTTACTAATACTGTGAATTACGGTGGTAATACTACTATTAATTATGGAAGCTTCCCATTTGGAGCAAACCTCCTGCACTCTGCTCTGTAAATGTTGTCTGTTTGTTTTTCCTCACTTTGTATCTTTTCCCTATAATACACCTAAGAGTCAAGTAAGAGGATGCTCAGTGAATTATGTGAGCTTGTCTAGCCAATTTTCAAACCTAAGGGGGTTTTTGAACAGCCCTGGTGACAGAGCGGGTGATGCATTGTGCTGCTAATTGCAAAGTGGCAATTCAAATCCACCTGCTGTTCTGAGGGAAAAGATGAGGCTTCCTACCCCCATAAAGATGTACAGTCTCAGAAACCCACAAGAGCAGCTCTACTCTGTCCTATGAGGTGCAATAGATTTGATGGCAGGGAATTAAGTTTGGGTTTTAAGGACAGTTGTAGGAACCTCTAAGGAGTCCTGGTAGCTCAGTGGGCTACATGGGCAGCTGCCAACCCCAAAGTCATTTGCTGGAACCCACTAACCTCTCAGAGGGAGAAAGAAGAGGCTGATTCCTCCCAAGATTCACAGCCTCAGAAACACAAAGAGCAGTTCTACTCTGTCTTAAAGGGCCTCTATGAATTAGAATGAACGCCATGGCTGTGGGTTTTTGCTTAGCTTTTTTTTTAAAGGTGCTCCTGGTGTAATGGTTAGCAGTTCAAACCCACCCATCACGCACTGGGAGCATTTCGAGGCTGTCTCTTTCCAGAGAGGAGCTCTGGTGGTGTAGAGGTTAGATGTTATGCTGCTAACCACAAGGTTAGCAGTTCAAAACCACCAGGTGCTCCACAAGAGAAAGACAAGGCTTTCTACTTCTGTAAAAAACTGCAGTCTTGGAAACCCACAGGGGTTTCCTGTAGGGCTGCGATGAGCGACAATCAATGCCATGACAGTGCATTTGGAGACTTTTGGTCTCCTTCCAAACAGTTTCCTAGTTTGGGGAACCCAGTACAGCGTGGCTGTGAGTTGGCTTTGACTCCGTGGCGGTGGGTTTTCGCACACTGGTACTCGGTATCAGAACTGAGGGCAGCCTGGTGTGGAGCCTGAGCCCTGAAACCATGCCCGTGTGGCTACCCCCCAGCAACGAATTTCAAAAGGCCACTAAAGAGATTGTCTAAGGATGTACAGCACAGCTGGGAGCCATCAGCCAAGTGTCAGGGCTTTCGAAGGAAAACAATGCAGGCTGCTTCTGAGATCTTTCATAATAATGTCCTACAACGCGAGGAATAGCCTGAAAAAACGCAATAAAGGAAGACAGGAGACAAGCCCATCCATCAACCCAAACCCGCTCTAGGCTGGGGGAAGATAAAGGCCAGCAGAGCTGTAAACCACCTGCACAAGTGAGTGTCCGCGGTGCAGACCCAGGTGTGTACCTAGGACATATGGTTAGGGAAGGGTTTTAACTTGGGGGGGGGGGTAGAAAAAGGGGCTTTCAAAGCTGGTATGACACCTTTGTTGGGTTCTTTATGGTAGTCCTAACACTCCCCAGCAAATTTGAAGGAGACAGTGGTTTTTTAAATACAGGGTTTTTTTCCTTGTGTATATTACAAAGTCAAAGAAATATGTGCATGAGCTGATCTGCATTTTTCAGGGAAACAAACAAACAAAAAAAGCCATATACTGGACAGCAAATAAAAATGTGCAGATCCGAAATACGTTGCTTATAGCCTAATTCCAGAGCCTGCAGCGACCACGAAACCACCAGGCACCCCGTCATAGGCAGATTCCTGGAACCCCATTTCCTGATCCTGTAAAGGCTCAGGAGGCAGCATGTTTAGAGCCCCACAACAGATTCAGGTTGGGGGACCACTGCTCTCTAGAAAATGTAAAATAGTGTCTTAGAGCTATGACTGCCCCTCTTATACTATTGCTCTACAGTGTTTTCCATGGCAGTACCTTTCCATTAAAACATGCTGGAAATGTAGGGACAAGGACCTAAAAACATAACCTGTATAGTACCCGATACAAGTCACCCCAAAATATTAGCAGCCCCATGTTCACTTGCAGGATACTGAAGAACTGTATCCTGTGAAACACTTAACCTCCTTTAGGAGATTCTGCTCCTGAACGCATGGCAATGAAAAAGATCTGACCCTTTTCTTGGCGTCGAGAAAGGCTATGTTAAAAAAACACAACACCTGATCATGTTTAATTCTAGGATGAAACTAAACCCAAGGTGTGTTCTCTCTGCTGGGTAAGCATCTGAGTGATTGTAGCAAGTTAAAAAAAAATGACAAGCACCAAATGAAACAATTGTCTCTAAAGGTCATTCATGCTGTATCTACTTCATGCTGACAACAGAGAGAAGACAGTGAGAAGGCAAAACATCTCAGCTCATCATCCGTTCCCTGAAAAGTGAGTAAAAATTATCATTTCCATGAAGGGCCAAAGGAAGCATTGAGAGACAGTCTGGCCAACGCTAACAAGGCATTCTAGTGAGCTCCCCTCTGTGTTTGGGTTCAGTGTGCTATTGGGCAAATGTTCTAAAGTTTTTAAACCTCTCTAATGTAATTTGCAATAAGAAAAATGTGTGGTGGTTACAGGGCCCACAATTTAATTGCAGCCAGATGCTGTTGCAAATTTTTAATTTATTTTTAGCCTGCAACATGGCTCCAGTGGAAAATGAAGGCAATGGGTGTACACTTTTCATCACATACGCAGAATGAAAATAGTAACACTTGGAGTATTTCATGCAGCCTTTTTTTTTTTTTTAGAACAGCATTGAAATGTGATGTGAAATCCTGTCGTTTAAATATGCTAATGCCACTCACCCACTGTGTCTACAAACCTGTTACAAAGAATAGCTACAGGACTCCAAACACCGCTTCTTGATCAGTGGCTTTCATTGGAAGGCTTTAGAGTGCTTGATCTAGAATCTACTGTCAATGAAAGAGCTTAAGGGCTAACATTTCTTTGTTTTTTCTTTTTATGAGGGAGTGAGAGAGAGTGAGTGAGTGAGTGAGTGAGTGAGTGAGTGAGTGAGTGAGTGAGTGAGAGAGAAAGAGTGAGTGAGTGAGTGAGTGAATGATTGAGTGAATGAGAGCGTGAGTGAGTCAGTGAGTCAGTGAGTGAGCAAGAGTGTGAATGAGTAAGAGAGTGAGTGAGTGAGTCAGTGAGTGCGCGGCCAACATTTCTTAAACTGTGTTTTTATGAATTGGCATAATAGCAGCCCAAAGCTACACAAATTCAACATTCTCCCTCCCACTCTCATACATGTTTTTCTGAAATACGGTACACACCATCTCCGTCACATGCTTTCTCTCATGCTCCCGTTATAAAGAAAAGATAGGCAGTCTGTGTGTGTTTACTTTTTTATGGTCTGAATTTGCTTGAGTGGAAGTGTGGGGAGTTGGACAGAATCAATCGGTAGGAGTGTTGAGTCATCCGATCTAAAAGATGAGCATTGTGGAGCTGACCAGCAAACCCTAACTTTCCAAGTGTCACAGTCAATTAACCTGCACTGGTCGTGGAGTAAATTCTCCACTTTCTGGAAAGGGCAACGTAAGGAGTGGCATTTATGTGAGTCAAGAATCTAAGAGTCAATAAAGAGAGTCTAGAGGTTTTCTGTTTTGCACTGAAGTTAGTTTTAAAAACTAATATCGCATAATTAAATGCAAGCATTCAAATGGAGGCATTGAACTGGAGGGCATTGAATTGAGGGACTGTAATTGAAGTGCACTTAACTGGAGAACAGAGTTGGTTAGAGCGGTGTAAATAAATACCAACTTACTGGAGATGTAGTCAGTCGAAGGATAGTGCCATTTTTTATCTCGTTGCGATTCTGGAAAAGAAAAAAAAAAGAATAAGGCTTTGTAAATCTCCAAGTAGAAACTCAGTAAAGGAGCAAACAAAGGCAAATGTAATCATGCAGAGACTCTATATAGTAAACATCCATGATTGCATTTATTCACACTTCAGTAGTTTCCAAGAGTTTCCATAGATTCTAAACTGGGTCCCAGATGTGTTGAGTTTTACCAAGTCACAGAGAGCATTCAGCACAGAGAGAGCCAGTATAAACCCAAAGGACACACAGCCTAGAAGAGCAACAAAAAGTGATTTAAAAGGCTGTCAAGGGCATATGATCCCTAAAATCACACTCCTAGATAGATACCCCAAAGAATGAAAAACACTGTGCACAAATACAACTTGTACAGAAAATTCTTTTATTATATTATAATATAATAGAAGTTATATTATAGAATATAATTTATAATTGCTAAAAATGAGACACAGCCTCCAATGCCCACTAAGTGACTGATGAACAGAAGCACTGGACCAAATACTGACATATGCTACAACATGGACAAACCTCTAAAATATAGTAAGCGAAAGAAGCCACACACAAAATCCACTTGTTATATAAGAGATACCCAGATCTGGCTAATTCATAGAGACAAGAAGGCGACAAGTGGTTTACAGGAGCTTGGGTCCCGAGGATGACTGCTCCTGGGAATGGTTTCTCCCAGGGATGATGAAAATGTTCTGAGATCTGGGGTTGCCACAGAGAAGTGGAAATAAAATGTGCATGGAACGTCAGAGGTAAAGTGGACCGTCTGTTCTGTAAGCCTTCCCTAAGTCACAATGAAAAGTGTGTTTAAAAAAAGGAAAATATTTTGGTGGTCGTCAGAGCACAGCTCTGCGAGAATACTGTAAGTTACTGCATGTGACACTGGGTGAATTTCATGTCAATTATTTCAGCAAACAAACTGTTCTTGGTGACACAGGAGCAGGTTGGTAATTCTCACATGCCCTGCTGCGCCAGGGGAAAAAGGCCATTAAGATTACAGCCAAGAAAAACACAAGTTCTACTCTGTCACACAGTGTGGCATCAACTCAACAGCAATGGGTTTCGTTTGGGGATTGTTATAGGTCAGTAATGCTTTTAATTATTTGTGTATTTCAAAGGGATCACTAAGGGGCTTGTTTTCTAAACATTTGCTAGTTTCTGCTACATGTTCCTTGAAATTAAGAACAAACCAATAACAGAACCAGTCAAGCTCTGCTTGACAAGCACACCTTAGGCAAGTGAGAGAAGCCATCACTCAGCATCTGTGGCCCTGGACAGAGGATTCACTGGCAGATTTCTTCTCTAACACCAGAGTCCCCACCATGTTCAGCGACCAGGAGAGGCCAACAAGGACACAAAAAAACCCCAAGCCCTTCACAAAGCATTCACGCCAGGAGGTTAACAAACATGCTCTCCTGACGCAGCAGGCATAACAAGGTGAAGCAGGAATTTCTTAGGATGGGATAACACCTGCAAGGAGGTACTAATGAGAGACAGACCTCAGACCTGAACTCCCTCCCACAGGAAACCAAAGCTGAGGATTTCCCACTGAGGGCAGGAAAGCCCAAGTCCCTGCCACTGTCACCTCCAAACC